GTTTGGCGTGCGGAGGGAGAAGGCTCAGGTGACAGGGGAGAGTTTAAACACACCCCACTGAGCCCTGAGTGAGGGCACCTATGGGAAAATACAACCGCCAGATGGTGCCCTTGAAGAGCAGGGCCCCTGGCTCCAGAAATGTGGCTTGTCCTGCTCTTGCATCTGTGTGCCCCGGTGGCCTCATGAACATGCCTGGGGTCACACAGCCTCCTGTGGCGATGCTGTAGGTGGGGGAAGGATGCAGAGGGGCCCCCGTGGGCCAGGTTCCTCCTCCACAGCCATCACTCCCATGTTATCTGGGTAGGAGGGGGCGAGACAAGTTCCCTGAGTGACGATTTGGGCAGTGGCCAGAGGCAGAGCCTGCCCCATACTCACCTTCAAACAGGGAAATGAGAAAGGTGGCTGGTCAACATTTTCCCCGAAAGCACAAGGAAAGTCCCTCTACTATTCTAGTTTTAAAAACCACATTTGTGGCTTGTAACTTATGTTGGAGTTGACCTTAGAAAGTCCTTCAGGACTCTTCCAAATTAGAGCACCAAACTGTCACCCCTTTTGCAGTTGTCAGAGGAGGAGAATCTTGTGCCAGTTCCTGGATTGAGAGGAAGAGGAGACAGCCAACCAAAGCCAACCTCCTCCTGGGGCCACAGGCCACAGTTATGGGGTCTTCCTGGGTCTGGGCCCCTAGTTCTGCAGCTAGACAATTAGGGTGCAAGGGTGGCTAGACGATGTGTCAGGACATTGGACACAGCCCCTTTGGACGCTGGACACGGAGCAGCAGACATCCGCCAGCTGGCTTGGCACAGCCCCTAGAGACATGACTTGGGGTCGAACGAAGAATCCATTTCGGTTTCTCACAAATTCCCCCTGAGACGAGGAGGGGGAGGGAGGACCGAAAGACCAGAAATGTGAGGTGCGGCTAATGGAACATCGCGTGCCTAGTGGGGTGAGGACCACCAGAGGCAGCTCACAGGCTGGGGCTTCTCTTGTCCAGGCCTCCCCAGAGGACCGGCAGCCCCTGGACTAGGAGAAGCCTTAAAGCCCCAGGAACTCCACTGAGCCGCCTAAGGTCGGGAATCCCCGGCTCCCGTTGGTGGTGGCCAGGCCAGGCGGCCCGAGACCGTCCAGCAGCTTGGGAGTCACGAGTCTCACCTCCTGATTGACCATATCTGGACCCATCTGGGCAACATCAGTGAGCCCAGATGGTGGAAAATTAAGTTCAAGCTTAAATCTTAGAAATCTGAGGCTATCTCATTGCGTGTCTTTCACATTTTTTCCCCCTGGTTGTAGGAAGTAGGAAAGTTCTTTGAAGGTTGCTTTCCAAGCAATTTCCTGATCAAAATTGTCTGTAAAATAGCCCACCGTTCAACTGGAGAGGCAAAGCACTTTAATCTCAATAGAGCAGGAAAGATACAGTTGAGCTTGATCTGCCAGCACAGCAGGTTGCCAAAAGACCTCTTCTGTCCCCTCCCTCCCTCCCTCCCTCCGCCCAAATACCTGGAGGATTAAATGACCATGCTATGGGAGGGAGTCTAATCCACGCTCTTGCCCCACCATGGGCCAAAACCCAGGGCTGGTTGCAAAATCCAAGCTTAAAACTATTCACACCCGTGAAAAGCTGAGACACTTCACTGACAGAACTCTCAGCCAGGGTCCGTTTATGGTCTGGGGTCCTCTCGGAAGGAGGTCACGGGGCTTTTGCACGATCAGAAGTGACTTGGAAAGAAAGCAGCTGCTCTTTCTGCAGCTCCTTGCAGAAAAAACTCTACAAATATGTTTGCTCATGCTGCTGAAAATTGTTTTTGGTAACTTTTTTTTTTTCTGGTTAAAAAAGGATCTATGCTTATGTCAGCACTGCTTATAATAGCCAAACCTGGAAACAACCCAAGTGTCCGAAACAAAAGAAGGGATAAATATATTATTTACACAATGGAATACTATACAGCGATGAAAATGAACTACAGCTAGGTGTCAGAATGTGGATGAATCTCACAAAAATAATGTTGAACAAAAAAATAGAAACACAAAAGGGAACAGAGGGGATGACTCCACTTACATAAAGCTCAATGACAGGCAAACAACACTCCTTTGTTTAGGGATGTGTACATGGATAGTTAAAAAAAAAAAGGAAGGAAATGACAAGGGGCTTGGGGGAAGCTTCTGGTGTGCTGGTAATGATATATTTCTTGCTCTGGATGGGTGTTTGCTATATTTGCTAAATTGTACATTCATCTTTTAGGGACTTTTCTGTATGCCATGTTTCATCAAAAATATTTTTAAAAGTTAAGAGACACAAAGGTAATCGTTGCCTTCTATGAATCCAATGTAAAATCAAACCTGATGTATGCCAAAAACTACATAACATCACTGAATGAAATTAAAGAAGACCTAAGTAAATGGAAAGACATCCTAGGTCCATGGATGAGGAAATTTAATATTATTAAGGTGGCATTATTCCCCAAATTTATCTACAGATTCAAGGCAATCCCTAACAAATTCCCAGCTGGCTTTTTGGCAGAAATGGAAAAACTGATCCTAAAATTGATAGGGAATTACAAGGGGCCTCAAATAGCCAAAATAATATTATATTAAAAAAGGAAAACAGGCCGGGCGCAGTGGCTCACGCCTGTAATCCTAGCACTCTGGGAGGCCGAGGTGGGCGGATCCTTTGAGCTCAGGAGTTCGAGACCAGCCTGAGCAAGAGCGAGACCTCGTCTCTACTAAAAATAAAATAGAAATTAATTGGCCAACTAAAAATATATACATAAAAAAATTAGCCAGGCATGGTGGCGCACGCCTGTAGCCCCAGCTGCTCAGGAGGCTGAGGCAGAAGGATTACTTGAGCCCAGGAGTTTGAGGTTGCCGTGAGCTAGGCTGATGCCACAGCACTCTAGCCCAGGCAACAGAGTGAGACCGCGTCTCAAAAAAAAAAATAAATAAATAAAAAATACAAAAGGAAAACAACATTGAATGATTCACTCTCCAATTTCATACTTACTGTAAAGCTACAGTAACCAAAATAGTATGGTACTGGCAAGAAAGAAAACATCGGTGCAAATCTTCATGAGCGTGGTTAGGCAATAGTTTCTCAGGTATGACACCAAAAGCACAGCAACCCAAGAAAAAAATAGATAGACTGTACATCCTCATAAAACCACTTTTGTCCTTTGAAGTAGACTATCAAGAAGGTGAAAAGACAACCCAGGGAATGTGAGAAAATATTTGCAAATCATATACCTGATAAGGGTCTAGTATCCAGAATATATAAAGAACTCTTCCAACTCAACAATAAAAAGACAAACCGATTTAAAAATAGGCAAGAAAAATAAATAGACATTTCTCCAAAGAAGGTATGCAAATATCTAATAAGTACATGAAAAGATGCTCAATATCATTATGTATTAGAGAACTTAGAGTCAAAACCACTTGAGCAGCCAGGCATGGTGGCTCACACCTGTAATCCTAGCACTCTGGGAGGCCGAGGCAGAAGGATTGCTCAAGGTTAGGAGTTTGAAATCAGCCTGAGAAAGAGTGAGACCCTATCTCTACTAAAAGTAGAAAGAAATTAATTGTCCAACTAAAAATATATAGACAAAATTAGCCAGGCATGGTGGTGCATGCCTGTAGTCCCAGCCACTTGAGAGGCTGAAGCAGAAGGATTGCTTGAGCCCAGTAGTTTGAGGTTGTTGTGAGCTAGGCTGACACCATGGCACTCTTGCCCAGGTAATAGAGTGAGACTCTGTCTCAAAAAAAAAAAAAAAAAAACTGGATGTGGTGGTGCACACCTGTAGGCCCAGCTACTTGGGAGGCTGAGGCAGGAGGGTTGCTTGAGCCCAGCAGTTCGAGGTTGCTGTGAGCTATTATGTGCCACTGTACTCCCGCCTGGGGGAACAGAGTGAGATGGGCTTAAAAAAAAAAGAGAGAGAGGGAAAATTGAAAACATATGTCCACACAAAAACTTGCACTCGGATTTTTGGATTTTCATAGTAGCATTATTCAGAATAATCAAAGTGTTAACAACCAAGATGTCCACCAGCTGATGAATGGATAAGTAAAATGTGCTACATACATATAATGGAATATTTGACCATAAAAGGAAATGAAATACTTATACATGCTACGACTTGGATGAACCTTAAAAACATTATGCTAAGTGAAAGAAGTCAGACACTAGGGGCCATATATTACATGATTCCATTTATATGCAATGTCCAGAATAGGCAAATACATGGACACAAAAGGTAGATAGCAGTTGCCAGGGCTGAGGGGAAGGGAGAACTGGGTGCTAATAGCTCAGGGACTAGAGTTTCTTTTTGGGGTGATGAAGATACTGTAGAATTAGATAATACTGATGGATGCACAAACTTGTGACTATACTAAAAACCACTGAATTGTACAGTTAAAAAGGCCAATTTTACAGTATATAATTTACAGTCTCAAAAAGTATGAAATTTTCAAACAAGTTCCATTTTTTAAAAATCACACCTAATTAGCTATTTTTAAAAAAAAATTTTGTATGCTCGTTATAAGAAAAGTTGGAAACACCCGCTCACCCCAAGTCAGCACCACCAACCTGTGAACACTTGGGTATCAAACTCTGGAGCTGCCGTCGTGTCACCAGTGGAAAGGACACCTCCAACCCCCAGCACACACATGGGCTGGCTGAAAGGAAGGAAAGTAATATTAGCTCTAAAAATGCCAGGCCCTCACCCCCACAGGACGGGATGTTCTAGCCTCCTGGCAAGAGCAGGGGTAGCGGGGATCAAGCGTGGGGACTGGTGAGAGGGCGTGGTCGGGGCTCAGGGGCCCCGGGTAAGGGGGCGGGGCTCGTGGGCGGGCCCTGGGGTGAAGGGGCGTGGCCCGGCCCAGAGGCCCGTGTGCGGGGGGCGTGGCGCGTGGGCGTGGCGTTGGGGCGAGGGGCGTGGCGGGGCGCGAGGGGCGGGACCCGAGCCGGGTGCACGGGGGCGGGGCGCGGGGCCGCTGGCCTGGCTGGGCCGGGACGCGGGCGGGGCGGGAGCCGGGACTGGAGCCACGGGCGCGCCCCTGCCCAGACGGCGGCGGCAGTGGCCGCTTGCTCGGCCTGGCCTCTGTCCTCGCGGCGACCCCGCGCCCCGGCCTCCTGGCCCCGGGCCGGCCATGCCGCCGCCCGCGCCGCCCACCGTGCTGGTGCCGTCGGAGCGCGCAGTGGTGCTGCTGTCGTGCGCGCTCTCCGCGCTCGGCTCGGGCCTGCTGGTGGCCACGCACGCCCTGTGGCCCGACCTGCGCACCCGGGCGCGGCGCCTGCTGCTCTTCCTGTCGCTGGCAGACCTACTCTCGGCCGCCTCCTACTTCTACGGGGTGCTGCAGGACTTCGCCGGCCCCTCGTGGGACTGCGTGCTGCAGGGCGCGCTCTCCACCTTCGCCAACACCAGCTCCTTCTTCTGGACCGTGGCCATCGCGCTCTACCTGTACCTCAGCATCGTCCGCACCGCGCGCGGGCCCCGCACCGACCGCCTGCTCTGGGGCTTCCACGTCGTCAGGTGGGTGCCGGCGGCGCGGCTTCCCCTCCACCCCAAGAGCCCGGACCCAGGCAGACACCCCCTCCACCCCCACCCCCCGCCCCTGGTCCCTGCCTGCTGCCCCTGTGCCCTTGCGCCCCCTCTGGCAGCCGCGTCTTAGGGCAGGGGTAAGGGGGGAACCCCAGCCCTGGGCCGGCGAGCTTCCTAAGACCTGGGCGCCTCTGATGGGCGGACACTCTGGAGGGACTGGGGGGACACTCTGTGCCCTCTGTCTCATGCTTCACTGTGTCCGGGCCATCTCTACTGCCCGTGGGGAGACGGGCTGGGAGAGGAGTTAGGCGGCTGCCCAGGGCTGGGGAGCAGGGCACCTCCCAATCCTACGCCCCCACCCCCGCCCCGCGCCACAGTGGGCGTGGTGCACTCTGCCCCTCCCAGGCTGCAGTGCCTCCGGTGTGAAATCCACGGAGGACTGTGATTTTTATTCAGTCTTTTTGGTCGTGTCTAGCCTTCCAGCCCCAGTCCCTTGTATTTCTGTTCTAGGCGATCTTGACTTTCTTTCTAGAGTTGAGCAGCTGTAAGACTGAGGTCAGTGGCAGAGCGCTGGTCTGGAAGTCTGGGAGTCCACCTGGGGTCTCTGAGAGTGGGGAAAACCAGGGCCTTGCCCTTCCCTGAGGTCCAAGCACCTCTCAAGTAAGCCCTCACCCACAGAAGAAGGTGGGCCCTTCCCTGTGGAATTTCAGGATTTGAAAATCTCAGGGCTGTCCTGCAGGCAAGAATCTCAGAAATGTTTTCCTGCTCTCCTTACCCCGATCAGGGCACCAAATACTGCACTAATTATAGTCCTTTCTATTAAAAACTTAAGTGCTTTCCAAGAACCGAAAGGACAGTGAGCACTTTGGTAGAGACAGGTCACCTGGGTGTCACACGGTGAGGCTATAAGGCCTCCCGATCTTGCAGCTGCTGAACAGAGGCCAGCCAGTCCCTGAGAAGCTAAGTGACCTGCTTCTCAGCTGTTCAAGTCACTCTTTGCAACGCATCACTCAAACTGTGGCTCAGATGCTGCGGGGACCCATGGGAAAAGGGGCTGCTTTTTTTTCCCTGTCAGCATCCTGTCAGACCCTATCAGAGACCCAGCAGTCCTCCGTGGCTGGTTGGGTGCGGGCAACGTGTATGCCGAGTTCAAGGGTACTTGAAAAGGAGCCCAGAATGGACCTTTCTTTGCAAGAACCTCTTCTCTTTCCCCTGCTGCTTTTTTTTTTTTTTTTTTTTTGGAATCAGTAGTCTCGCTCTGTACCCAGGCTAGAGTGAGTGGCCCCCCCCCCCGCCCGCCCATGGCGTCAGCCTAGCTCAAACTGCAACCTCAGATCCTGGGCTCAAGTGATCTCCTGCCATCCGGCCCTCCTGATAGCTGGAACTACAAAGGATGTGCCACCACACCTAATTTTATTTTTTCCGGCTAATTTTTTTTTTCTATATTAAAATAAGTTTGGCAAACAATTTTAATTTATAAAAAAAAGACGGGTCTCACTCTTGCTCAGACTGGTTTCGAATCCTCGACCTCAGCGATCTGCCAGCCACCCGCCACATGCACCCCTGCCTGCTTTTTAAAAAAATAGTTGACTAAAATCTAAATTTTTTTTTTTTTTGAGACAGAAGTCTCGCTTTGTTGCCTAAAGCCTAAGTGAGTGCCGTGGCGTCAGCCCTAGCTCACAAGCAACCTAAAATCCCTGGCTCAGTGATCCTTCTGTCTCATGCCTCCAACAAAAAAAGGACTAACAGGGCATGAGCCACCAATGCCCGGCTAATTTTTTCTATATAATATGTAGTTTGGCAATTAATTTCTTTTTTGTTAAGCGGGGTCTCGCTCTTTGCCTCAGGCTGGTTCGATCTGACCCCACAAAAAGAGCATCCCGCTCGGCCTCGGAGGTAACCACTAACAACACATAAAACACAAGGCCAAATCCTATTTTAAATGCTCAAACACCGGCCCTTCCCCGTGATGGTTTACACCTGTAATCCTAGCACTCTGGGAGGCCCGCAAGGCTGGCGGAGATTAGCTCCGAGGCAGGAGGTTTGAAATCACCCTGAGCGAAGACCCTGTCTTTAACTAAAAATAGAAACGAAATTAATTGACCAATAAAAATATATACCCAGCAAAAATTACCAGGATGGCTGGCGAGTGCCCTGTAGTCCAAGCTACTCGGGAGGCTGAGGGCCCGGAGGATCAGCTTGACCCAGGAGATTGAGGTTGCTCGTGAGCTAGGCTCGACGCCACCGGCCACCCACTCTAGCCCCCCCCTTTGGACCCAAAACAACGTGAGACTCCATGTCTCAAAAAAAAAAAAAAAAAAAATGGTAAACAGAACCTGGTGTAGCTCCTATGGAAAAGATGATTGCCCAGCAACCTAGATGAGGGTTCACACCAGATCATCAGGGACCCTCTAGCAGAGTTTTCTGTGAGGCTTGAGAAAGGATCCCTTCTAGGGAAGTCTGTGTGTCCCCTTCTGGCATGAAAAAGAAGCAAATTACTCATCTTGTCTGTTGAATGTGGTCCACCTGCTTCTTCAAAGAAAAGAAAATTAATTACCTGTATCCAAGCTAGAAAGGGAGTGTGACAATTTATTCCCTGGAGTTCTCTATCAGAGGTTAGCATTCAGACTTGGCTAGTCTCAGGAAATTCGTAAAACCTGTCTAACAGGTTCATTTATTGACCTAGATCCTCCCAGCCTGTATTGCTATGACCTTGCTAAAGGAATCTACTGTGTATTTCTTTGGAATATTAGTTTATTGTTGCAGGATCTGTTGATGTGAGAAATATTAATATCATCTTCAGACATACACTAAAAGATCATCCACTTTTTAACCATTTCAGACTGCTGAAAATTCGTCCTCTTCTTCAAACCTTACACTCTTGGAAAATATTTTAAAGCATGACAACAGAAAAGATTACTATCTCTATTCTACTTTTTTTTTTTTTGAGATGGGGTCTCATTCTGTCTCACAGGCTAGAGCACAGTGGTGCCATCATAGCTCACTGCAGCCTCAAACTCCTGGCCTCAAGCGATCTTCCTGCTTCAGCCTCTGAACGTGCTCGGACTACAGGCATGGGCCACCAGGTCCAGCTGATATCTCTATTCTATAAAGAGTTTTTAGTAATTGATTTTTTTAAAAAAACTGTACTACTCAGCCATAAAAAGGAAACGAATTAATGTCTTTTATAGCAATTTGGATGGAACTGGAAACCATTATCCTAAGTGAAGTATCCCAGGAATGGAACAACAAATACCACATGTATTCTGTAATAATTTGGAACTAATCAATGGGCACAGAAAAAAGGAAAAGTCATGGGAAATCAAGAAGGAGGAAGGTTGGGGGGAGGTAAAAACCTATCAGGTACAATGAACACTATTCAGGTGATGGGCACACTCATAGCCCCGACTTAGCATTATAAAAGCTATCCATGTAACAAAAACATTTGTACCCCCTAATGTTTTGAAATTTTTAAAAACCTGCAAATATCCTGAAAAATGGACAAAGGGCACGTTTGGACAAAATGGTGAAAGCAGTTGATAAATATGTATGGAAAAAGGTATAGCTCCATTAATACTGAAAACAATACAAGTTATAATAATGAGGTATCATTTTCTCATTAAATTAGAAGAAAAAATGTAGTAAGGCAGAATACTCACCTTATAAATGCCAGTGAAAGGGATATTTTCCTGCATTTTTATTGACAGTGTACATTGAAATAATCCTTGTAGAAAGTATCTGGTTCATACCCTTTGATCCAGTAACCCTGTTTACCAAGACCTAATCTAAGGAGATAATCTAAAATATGTACAAAGGAGTTTGTGAGGCCCACTGTGACAGTGAGAATTTGGAAGCAACCTTAATGTCCAGCAGTAGGGGGCCAGTAGGTTAAAGACTGTCCTCCCCTCCTAAAATGTTATATAGCTATTAAATACTGCTTGCATGGCTGGGCACCGTGACGTACACCTGCAATTCTAGCATCACTTGAGGGTAGGGGTTCAAGACCAGCCTAGACAATAGTGAGAACCCCCATCTCTACAAAAAAGAAAAAATTAGTCGGCGTCGTGGCGCATGTCTGTAGTCCCAGCTACTCGGGAGGCTGAGGCAGGAGGATTGCTTGAGCCCAAGAGTTTGAGGCTGCAGTGAGCTATGATGACACCTCTGCACTCTAGCCTGGGCAACAGAGCGAGACCCTGTCTCAAAAAAAAAAAAAAAAAAAAACAACTGTAAGTGACAGACAGGATGCCCACTAACTCCTAAATACTTCAGTGTGTATTTCCAGAAGATAAGCACAGCCTCTTACAGAACACGCAGCTACCAAGAGTAGGAAGCTAACACAGTACTGTTAACCTGATGGAGGACTTCACTGGGCTTTTGTTCATCATCTAACAATGTCCCTGATAGCAAAGGGGAATCCTGGCTTATATGTTGACTTAGTCTCCATGTATCTTTATTCTTCTTCAAAACAGTTCTTCTATCTTTCTTGGTGTTTTGTGACATTTTTGATGAGTACAGGCCTGTTATTTTGTAGAATGTCTCTTAATCGGGGTTTGCCCAGTGCTTCCTCGTGAGCGGTTTCAGGTTCTGCGTTTCTGCCAGGACATCCCAGAAGCAGGTCCTTCTTGTTGTTGCTTCCTCCCAGGTGGCCGGTGACTTCGGTTTGTTCCCTGACTGGTGATGTTAACTCTGATCACTTGGCTAAGCTGATGTCTGGTCAAGTTTCTTGCACTACGAAGTTACTATGTTTCCTTTTGTAATTAATAAATATCTTGAGAGACAGTTCAGGCTCTATAAATAGCTTGTTACCCCTCAAGCTTTCACCCAAGGGTTTAACATCCGTTGTTTCTGACTTTTTTTTTTTTTTTTTTTTGACAGTCTCACTCTGTCACCCCTGGTTAGAGGGCGGTGGCATCAGCCTAGCTCACAGCAACCTCAGACTCCTGGGCTCAAGTGATCCTCCTGCCTCAGCCTCCTGAATAGCTGGGATTACA